TGTGGCTGTGTCTGTGGCTGTGGCTGTGGCTGTGGCTGTGGCTGTGGCTGTGGCTGTGGCTGTGGCTGTGGCTGTGGCTGTGGCTGTGGAGTGTGGATGTGGGTGAGGGTGTGGGTGTGGGTGTGGGCGTGGGTGTGGGTGGGTGGGTGTGGCTGTGGCTGTGGCTGTGCGTGTGGGTGGGTGTGGGTGTGGGTGTGGGTGTGGGTGTGCGCTGTAAAAAAAATCCGTAGAATAATAAACCCAAAAAGGGTTGATGAAAGTGTAACGTATAATAAACCCTTTTTACCGTATGTAAAATTCTCCTAAACCCTTTTTAAGGGGTTAGGAAAGGGTTTAGGAAATTCCTAAACCCTTTAAGGGTTTATTATACGTTACACTTTCAACAACCCTTTGAAGGGTTTAGGAAAATCATAAACCCTTTAATATACCCTTACTAAGGGTATATGAACGGGTTTAGGAAATCAATAAACCGTTGCATAAACCCTAAAAAACGGTTTATGACGGTCACTAAGTACGGATGGGATTCAGCAAAGGGTTTATGAAATGCTCATAAACCCATGTAAGGGTTTATGAAATGCTCATAAACCCATGTAAGGGTTTAGGAAACGCTCATAAACCCATGTAACGGTTTAGGAAATGCTCATAAACTCATGTAAGGGTTTAGGAAATGCTCATAAACCAGAGCTGGGCAACTCAACTCAAAATGGGGGTCAATTCAATTCAATTCATTGAAAGAAAACTTCAACTCAATTCAATTCAATTCACAGATACTATAAATTTTTTCTCAACTCAACTCAATTCAATTCATGCATCTTGGAAAAAAATATTCCAATTCAATTCAATTCAATTCATACATCTTGGAAAAATATTTCAATTCAATTGAACTCAATTCATGATGATTGATAGTTTTCTGAAAACTCAATTCATGTATCCTGAAAAACTTTTCCAATTCAATTCAACTCAATTCATGTATCTTGAAAATTGTTTCCAACTCAATTCCACTCAATTCAATAACTTCGAAAGTTTTTTCTGAATTCAATTCAATTCAACTCATCGATCACGAACTTTTTTTTCAACTCAATTCAATTCAATTCTATTATTGAATTGAATTGAATTGAATTCAACTCAACTTGGTATTTCGTTTCCTTCACGTCTGACTTTCACTAGAATTATCTACTGTAGAACGATTTGGAGTATTTATTCAACAATATTAGCAGATTACAAGAGAAGGTCATAACTGAATCAAACAATAATGAACAAAAGAGGAATATAGTATAAGAGGTATGCGTTCCCAATAGATAACATACCAGTCAACAAACAAATGATTTGCATGATATTTCCCTATAAGACAAGGATAAATAGGCATTGTATCTATCACTTGAAAGAATAGGAAAACAAATCGGTACGTTGAGAGCTTATGTGCTTAAATTATACGCAATCATCAGAAAAGAAAAGAAAATAGTGATAACTTGACACAAGTGCACCAGAAATGTACATCAAAATGCGAGTATATTGCAGCTATGTTGAAATAGAGGCTCGGAAGAAAAATTCCAAAAATAGATCATAGTCATACCTTGATCTTTCATTAGTTTTAATGCGTAAAGTGATCATACAACAACAGTTTCAGAAATATCTTTGAGTTGAATTGAATTGAAATGAATTCGCAAATCTCGGGAAAAATGCTCCAATTCAACTCGATTCAATTCAATGATCTCGGAAGTTTTTTTCAACTCAACTCAATTCAATCCACTCATCTCCAAAAAAGATATTCAATTCAACTCAATTCAATTCAGTGACCTCGAGATTTTTTTCAATTCAATTCAATTCAATTCACTCATCTCCAAAAAAAAATATTCAATTCAACTCAATTCAATTCAGTGATCTCAGAATATCTTTTTTCAACTCAATTCAATTCAATTCCTTGATTAAGATTTTTTCCCTGACTTAATTCAATTCAATTCATAGATGTTTGAAAGTTTTGTTCAATTCAATTCAGAGCAATTAGTGTATCCTTGAAAAGTGTTTCAACTCAATTCAATTCAACTAGTAGACCCTGAAACATTTTTGTCAACTCAATTCAATTCAACTAGTAGACCCTGAAACATTTTTGTCAACTCAATTCAACTAGGCTCATGAATTGAATTGAGTTGAGTTGGTCGTTTTTCGAATTGAGTTGCCCAGCTCTGTCATAAACCCATGGATGGGTATAGGCAAGGGTTTAGGACACACTCATAAACCCATATAAGGGTTTAGGAAATGCTCATAAACCTATGCAAGGATCTCGAAAAGGGTGTATAGAACAGACCCGTCCTTGAGACTCATTTTGAGGCACATCATATCAACCTGTTGCCCTTTCCCCTCGCATAACAACAAAGAACTTTAGGAAACAGCGATGTCATGGCTCGCAACTGTACATGTTCTTCTAAGCAAAAAAACACATTCTAAGTGGTTCGAATGATACTTCATAGAAAAGTTTAGATTGTCAAATGAGATTTTTTTTTGTCTATTTCGCAATCTAAACTTTTGCATGGAGTATCATTCGAGCCACTTAGAATTTGTTTTTTGCTTAGAAGAACATGTATAGTGGTGAGCCATGACATCGCTGTTTCCTAAAGTTCTTTGTTGTTATGCGAGGGAAAAGGTTGACAGGTTGAGTCGGTGTGCCTCAAAATTAGTCCTCAGCGTTACTTATGATTACGTTTGACGCGATGGACCTAAATAAAAATAATAAAGTTATATAAATAATACTTACATATCATTTTGAACTTCATATTGTACTAAATAAAGAAAAACAAATATATACACACAAATAAATACTTACTTTGCATTTCCTTGTTCCAATGGACCTAAATAAAAAAAAGATAACAATTAATATAAATAATACTGACATTTTATTTTTGAACTCCATGTTAACCTAAATCAAAAAGAAACATATATAAGAAAATAATACTTACTTTTGATTTCGTCGTTGCGATTGATCTAAATAAAAAAGAAGATTTTTTTAAAATAATACTTACATATTATTTTGAATTTCATATTGAACTTAATAAAATACAAAAAAATATCTACCTAAGTAGATAATAGTTACTTTTGATTTCTTGTTACAATGGATCTAAACAGAAAAGGATAATTGTTAAAGTAAATAATACTTACATTTTATTTCCAACTTCATGTTAACCTAAATCAAAAGGAAACATTTATAAGAAAATAATACTTACTTTCGATTTCGTTGTTCCGATTGATCTGAATGGCGAAAAAAAGATTTATATAAATAATAGTCACATTTTATTTTGAACTAATATACAGTGGCTCCAAAAATTATTCATACAGGGGTACTTCCTATTTTTCTGTTCCTAACAAAGCACTGTGGACTATCTCTTTGATGATTTTGATAGCCCAGCCCATACGGCATCGAACTGTGTTCCCATTTAAATTCATGTGTGTAATAGGCCAGAAAACCATATCTAAAAAGAAAAAGTGTGTTTTTCAGGTACCAGAAGCCCCGATTTAATCTAGTTTTTGATAGAGCCATTGGATAGAGCTTGAAATTCTGAGCAAAATGAGTGGTCGCTGAGCGTTCTACGACCAACCCTCGAAAAACTACATGCATCGGAAAAAGTGAAAAAATGCGAAAAATACCTCAAAAACGACTAAAAACGGAAAAAAATCGCATTTTTTCACTTTTCCTGATACCTGTAGTTTTTCGAGGGTTGGTCGTAGAACGCTCAGCGACCACTCATTTTGCGCAGAATTTCAAGCTCTATCCAATGGCTCTATCAAAAACTAGATTAAATCGGGGCTTCTGGTACCTGAAAAACACACTTTTTCTTTTTAGATATGGTTTTCTGGCCTATTACACACATGAATTTAAATCGGAACACAGTTCGATGCCGTATGGGCTGGGCTATCAAAATCATCAAAGAGATAATCCACAGTGCTTTGTTAGGAACAGAAAAATAGGAAGTACTCCTGTATGAAAAATTTTTGGAGCCACTGTATATACGTATATATAAATGTTACTTACATTTCATTTCGTTGTCGAGATTTACTTAGCCAAGAAAGACAAGTTTATAAAAATAATACTTAAGTTCATTATGGTGTTTTTATGTATATAAAAACTACGTTTTATCTTGTTTTCGAGGCTGACCTGAATGGAAAAAGAAAAACTATTAATATAAATAATACTTACAATCCATTTTGTTGTGGAAATTATTATCCATTTCAAAATAAAGTGGACTCGGTTGTTTGTTTAATAACTCTGCAACGCTGATAGCTATCGAATCGCGGTTTTCACCGTTAGACAGAGGGTGGCTGAGGGTACCTGTATAGCTGAGAGTCAATGAATTTTGAAAGTTTCATAGAAGTTGTGCAAGTGCTTTTTTATAAAACTCTGACTGACTCTTTTGATTAAATAGATTATTGATTTCAATTGAGCCAAATTGTAGCCGAGTATCTGCTCTATAAATGCTGAAAGTTTCAGACTTCCCTTATGTGTCTCTGAGATAAAAGAAAAAATCTCCTGAAATCGAATGATGCTAAATTTTCAAAATTTTTTGGCTTAGACCTCTGATCCATAGAGGTAATGGAACCTACTGATTATTGTAACGTTATTAGTTAGATGATTGAAGATCTTTGATTTCTTCATATCACCTCGTATATGTCTGTTTCTGACGATCTCCACTAATCGATTCAAGAGAAACATTCATTTTTTACTCGTTCATATTTATTTATTTCTGTCTATTTGATCACAATGACATATGTATGCATCAGAGGAGTTATCACAAGTGCAAATGGTGCAGAAGAGGGACGCATACAAATTGTCACTTAGAAATATCAGACTCATTGTCATTCGTTGCTGCTGAATCTTCTTTTTTATCAGTTTCAATCAACTCTAGCTCAATATTGTTTTCCACAATGACATTGGCTTAGAGGTGTAAACAGAGGGTCAAAGAGCGACGGCGCCTGCTAGGCTTTATGTTTTCTATGTAGTCGTCGGCGAGGGTGTGGGTGTGGGTGTGGGGTGTGGATGGGTGTGGGTGTGGGTG